GGTACAGAACTTCTGTTTTACAAGATGAAAAGTTATAGAGACAGGTATTGGTGATGGTTGCACAACATTTGAGTGTATTTAATATCTTTGAAAAGTATACTTAAAAATAGTTAAGATGGTAAATATATTTCACCACAATAAAAAATAATAATTTTTTTCTTTTTTAACTTTATTTTATTATAAAGATGTGGGGCACAAGTCAGAATTAGGTACATATGCAATCTACGTACAGGTGAAGTTTGAGCCTCCAACTAGCCCTCAATTCCCCTGGTTTAGTACCAGGTATCTTTTGTGTTGTTATGTGCCCCATCCCTCCCACACAGCGGTGTCCTGCAACTGTGCTATTGTGTAATCTGTTCCTTGTGCTGTCGTGATGAATGTTCAGATCCCACATATGAGTGAGAACACATGGTATTTGGTTCTTTTCTTCTGTGACAGATCACTATGCTTGATTGTCTCCAACTCCATCCCATTTGCTACAAAAAATGTGGTACATATAACCATGGAATATTATGTAGCCATAAAAATAATAGATTTTTAAAAGAATAATTACACCAAATGAACTCTCAGACCTTCAAGAAGGGAAAAAGGAAAAATTGCAAATATGTGGGTAAAATATGAGACTTTTTCTTTTTCTTAAAGCCTCATCTAAACTCATAAACCAGCTCCCTCATTAGGAGCATACTTGGCTAAAACATACTGTCTGTCATGAGGACACTGAAGTTCTCGGCTTAAGAAGTTCCCCTAATAAATGCTTTGGACTGACTACTCTGGCCTTCAGTGCTTTCTCCTTTGGAATTCCAAATGGCCCCATCTGAGGACACTTGGACGCTGTCCCCCTCAAGAATTACTCTGCAATTGCTTTGGAGGCAATTCCACCTGTGGGTTCACCTAGACAGAACATACATTAGCCAAATAAAGGAGAAAAACAACACGATCACCTCAACAGATACCAAAGAAGCATTTGAAAAAATGTAACACTCATTCATGATAAAAATCCTCAGCAAGCTAGGAATATAAGGAAACTCCATGAGTTTGATAACATCTAAAGGAAACCTTACAGCTAACAGCATACTTGAGGGTGAAACATTGAACATATACTTTTCTCCTAAGGCACAGGATAAAGGTGTTTGCTCCCAACACTATTCAATATTTTATTGAAAGTCCAAGGCAATTCAATAAGGCAAGAAAATGAAATAAAATTCAGAGAAATCAGAAAGAATGCAGCCAAATTATCTCTTTTGGTAGATGATAGTTATGTTTATTAAAAATTCAAATCTATAAAACAGTATAACTTTTATAATTAATAAATTAATTCAGCAAGTTTTTAGGACATAAGGTGAATGTATGACATTGGTTATATGTCAATATGCTGGCCGCAACCAATTTGGAAATTATAATTTTTAAAAATATCATATATAACAGCATCGAAATATAAAACAGTCAGGAATGAATTAAACGAAAAATCTGTAAGACCTCCTCACTAAAAAAAACACAAAGCAGTGCTAAAAACAAAATTTTAAAAATCTAAGTAAATGGAGAACTATGAGAGGAGATCCACCCCCCGCCAAGAATTATCTTTTTGGAGGAAAGGCTCCTTGTAGTACAGGCTTCCCCTGCTAGATTAGTACTCTAGGAACCCATCAGTTTGTATCTGGAAGTTTTGAGGAAGTTGCATCACGATTTGCAGAAGAAACATCCTAGCTGTGGCCAACAGGTAACTGGTTCTTCCACCATGACAACACATCTGACCACCGTGCTGAGTGTCCAGCAGTTTTTGATCAACAATGGCGTGACCTCCGTGCCCTACTCAACAACGGCATGACCTCCCTACTCACCCTATCTTGCCCCAAGCGATTTTTTTGTTTGTTTCCCCGGATGAAAAAAGTCCTCAAAGGGAAACGTTTTGCTGATGTAGAATAAGTGAAACAAAAAAATGGCAGAAGTACTAAAAGGTATCAAAAACTGTTTTGAGCAGCAGAAAAAGTGTCTCAATAGGTACATTGCATCAAACAGAGAGTACTTTGAAGATGACTGAAGTTTAAACATGTAAGAAGATGCACAATTTTTTATAAATAAATTCTTGAGTTTTTTGGGTTCCCCCCCATACACCATTTCCATATTCTGGAAGACACAATGTTGTTAAGACATCACTCCTCAAATATATTTGACACTATCACTTTGAAGACAAATACTTTTTGAAGACACGCCTTTTGGAAGACATGCCTTTCTTAAAAGGGGTATTGCAAAAATAAAAAAAGACCAATAAACATAAAAAACATATATGAATTTTCAAAGAACTGTGACAACTGCTATGGTGGTAGTATGTGTAAAGTGCTCTGGGATAGCCCAGTCTCAACATGAGGCAGTTAAGCAATGTTTCATCTGAGTCTGGGCATGTGAGTTACTCCAGGAAATCACTGGCAGAAGAGCACTGGGCCAAGAAAACAGGAACTACAAAGCTTGAAGGGTGGCTGGAGCTTGGGGTTTGTGTGAGAGAGGATCAAGAAATAAGCCTGGAAAGATAAGTTGGCACCAGATTAAGGAAGGTCGTATTTACCAGGGCAGAAGTTTGGATGGATTTCATAAGTGGAGAGTAACAAAAATTAGACGTGGATTTTAGGGAAAAAAATGATTCTGGCAGCAGTAAGTGAATATTCTGAGATAAGAGTATATTACAAAATGAAACAAATATGTCCTTTTATCACGATCTTTCATGTCATCTATTTATTTGTTTCCTCTATGCCCAATGTTCCTTTCTCCTAAGAATGATATGCTATTGAAATGAATTCTGGGCAATTTCCAGATTCTGAAATGGGAATTATAGCTATAGATCATTATATAACACTACCTAATTAATCAAGACCAAAATAAATAGTTCTGCCCTGTGTATATACCAGTAACTAGCATTTAACACAGAAATTTTTAGCTCAAGACAAAAGAGAATATTTTTTATTGTACCTGCAATTACATTACTGTATTTAATTAACTGGAATCTGTAAGGACAACCAAGATGGGTGTTAGCCCAGGTAGCACTATCTTAGAGACCATCCCCCCTCTCCCCCTATTTTGCTAGCTACCCTGGGATGGAAAACTCAGACTATAAAAACATCCTGCCATATATAGCATCCTGTCTAGCACCTAGCTTAACCACAAGGTTTCCACTTAACTTAACCACAAGCCTTAGTTACCCCCTAGCAATGCCAACCACAAAAATCCCCCCAAGCCCTATAACTGCCCTAGCCTGCAAGTAGCAGTGGGCTTCAATTTTCTGGAGTCCCTTCGCAGGGTCTCCTCTTTGGAATAAACCTGTGTTGCAGTTGAGCCACCCATCTCCTGTCTCTCTTTTCCGATCTGCTCATTTTCTTGACCTAACAATGAGTTTCTCTTCAAAGATATTTTTCTTTTACTCAATAGTTTACTGTGAAATTATAATTTTTTCAGAGATTTTAATTTTCAAAACATGGTTTTGAATCCTTGTACTCATGTCCTTTGCAGAGCGGCATTGATATAACATGAGACACTCTAAGAATTTTTAGCATAAAGTGGAAATGCAAAGAGAATTCCTCAATTCAAACCCAACTTGGCCTAGTGAAAAATAAATCCTAAGAGACTATTTTAATTCACGTATGTCCTTTTGGTTTGGTTTGGATTGGATTGGCTTCTATTATCAGCTGCTTAGGAAATAGTACTCAGAGTTAGGGGAAAAATAAGTTTATTTTGGATCATAAAATTTTTAACTTTGTCAGATTAATGTTTTGGGTTTTTTTTTTTTTCCCTCATAAAGGTCTTAAAGATTCTGGAGACGATTTCCTCTGTGAACCTTTGAAAATGAAAAAAAAAAAAAATGCCACAATTAAAGCCAAGCAAAATGAAATAGATTATGTTTCATAAAGGAGATGAAACTCAAGAAAGAATCTAAATAAGTTGCCTTTCAAGTTCCTATCCTTCAGGTTCTACTCCAGAGGTTTCATCCAGTGGAAGTGCTGATTTGGTGCCTACATTATAGTAATTTTATTTCCCAAGTTCCAATATTTTTAACGTTCATGAAATATGTGCCTTCATAAATAAATAAATGAGAGAAAACAGATTCATACCTCAGAAGAAAAGACTTTTGTGGCTGCCTGGTCCCTACTCTGAAGTATAATCAATGAGGGTTTCCCAAGAGACTAAAAGATTATAATTTAGAATTTATATTTCACTCATTAGAAATACAGATTAAAAAATCGTAGAACTGACCTAAAAATAAAATACGGGAAATGGAGAGAAGACACATTTTAGGAAATCAAAAACCATAACTCCAGGTCTTGACTCATTTATATTTTGGCAGGCAGGGCACAGCTTATTCGTGACAGCTGTGTAAAGTGACTTTTCCCATTTGTGCACAGGGAGATATGGTTCAGACACACACACACACACACACACCCCTCACCCCTCTACCATGTTAACACATGCTCCAAGATTACAAAGAAGCATTGCAAGACTATTAATCACACTGACTGACCATTTTTATGATGATAGCACAAATAAATGTCATTTCATGAGTTGTAATATTAATGTTAAAAGGAGACCCATGCAATCAATGTACAAACTCGAAATCTGCAGGAATACTATTTTCCTCATTTGTAATGAGTTGTCTCTGTAATTACTGTTTGGTCCAATTGTCTCTTTCTTTTCTTATTCTGTCAAAAGGGCAATGCTGCCTATGACGATTTTCTGAAAGAAGTGTTTTGTCTTGCATATGGAAATGGTGTAAGTCCTGATTTAGTAACCTGAAGTTAGCCCTCTTTTATGAGGCATGAAACTCTTCCTTATGAAATAAACAACTCTAATGAAGTGTTTGTGTGAAAACTGGCACCAACAGTGACAAAGAAAACATCCGGTGCAGTCTGTAAATACCCATTTTGGTGGGGCTGTATAAAACTCTTGGGGGGAAGGAGAGTTTTGGAGTCAAGGCAGTCAGAGTTTGGCAGCCAGTCTCTGCCCTTGGCTTCTCAAAGGATGACTTCCGACTGCCCCCCCACGGACTGCCCTTCTGAGCCCTGTGCCAGGGCATCTGCTTCAACCTGTTCCGTGGAAATGAAGTGTCTCCCCAGTGCCTGTGCTGCATCCCGATGTCACACGCCGAGCTTCCTACCCAGGTCTCGCCTGCTGACCGGTTGCCTCATGCCTTGCTACTTGGCTGGGAGTTGCAACAGTCCCTGCTTGGTGGGGAGCTGTGCCTGGTGTGAGGATGGGGTGTTCACCAGCAACGAGAAGGAGACGATGCAGTTCCTGAACGACAGACTCGCCAACTATCTGGAGAAGGTGCGCACCCTGGAGGAGACCAACGCGGAGCTGGAATGCCAGATCCGAGAGCAATGCGAACAGGACACCCCTCTGGCGTGCCCTGATTACCAGCACTACTTCGACGCCATCGAAGAGCTCCAGCAAAAGGTTCGTGGGCTCCTTGCCCTGCTACTCCGCCTTCCCAATCTAAGATCTGCTTTACCTGTATGCTAGAAGAAGCTGTTTGATGGAGGGAAGCCAAGGAAAGGGGAATCCCAAGAGCTAATGGGATATACAGGTGAGGGCCCTGGATTGAAAGTCAAGAAACCTCAGCCCCGGCTGCAGTGCTGCCCCTAATTATGGAGTGACTACGGTAAAGTCACTTACCTGTAGACCTCAGCTCTACCATCTATATAGCACAGGGAAAAACTATTATATCTATAACACTGAATCTTTTAATTATTTTCACACAGGTCTTGAAATGCCTTTTTAAAAATCATATAATTTCACCTAGAAATCCTTTTCTTCTCTCATGAATTAAATTCTATTATTATGGACGGGGATGTAGTCAAAATAGAAACAACTGATGCAGGAAGCTTTAATGGCGTTCAACTGCCATTGCAAGGAATATTCCAGAATGTCCTGGGTCATTAAAAAAGCAAACCTATTTATTTCTAAATTGACACTGCTTCTTTTTCTTAATGAAGTGAGATGGCTAATATGAAAAAGCAAGCTGAAATACAATTTTATAAAGATTTTATAAAGTATTTCTTATAAAGACTTTCAAAAGGTAACTAGTGGCATAACTGTTAAGTGAATAGATATTTCTTTAGATTTAGCTCAAAGAATTATTACACACTGACTTACTTCCCAGATCTTGTGCACAAAGGCAGAGAATTCTAGACTTGCTGTACAGCTTGACAACTGCAAACTAGCCACCGATGACTTCAGGTCAAAGTAAGTTTAATTTGAATTTGAAAATAATATATGGTTCTTCCTCTCTCTCTCTCTCTCTCTCGCCAAATATTCTCTATATAATACATTTACATTAAGAATGATTTAAAAGCTCAAATGTATTACTATGCAGGATGTAAAATAAATGACAGAAAGTGGCTTTCTGAAATCCATGTGTCAATCATCATGTACCCCCTCACTTTACACAATGTCCAGCAAAGTAAGCATTGGATATGTCTCTTTTGCCGAGAAAGGTACGAGAATGAATTGTCCCTTCGCCAGCTGTTAGAGGCTGACATAAGTGGCCTACGTGGAATCCTGGACGAGCTGACCCTCTGCAAATCCAATCTGGAGGCCCACGTGGAATCTCTGAAGGAAGACCTCCTCTGCCTTAAGAAAAACCATGAAGAGGTAAAGAAAGTGGTAACACCCCTGAAGGACTCCAAGTGTAAGGAAGTTAAACTGATAGTTTTTTTATGGATGTACGTACACTGAACGTGGGCAGATGTCGCTGAGGCTGGACTACAATTACTGGAGGCACTATTCTACTCGGCTTAGTCATGCTGGTGTGTGTAGAGTGCCAGGTGAGGGAACCAAACTCTTCACTGTTTTTGTGGAGGAGGCGAGTGGTTCCCCAATGGTTTTCCTTGGAGGCTTTTTGCCACTCCTAATTCCAATACACAGGGTATGAAAATCGGGCTGTAGACTCAGACTGTGAGGTCCATTTCAAGAGGGTGATCAAGACTCATGCACTATTTGAGCCAGTGTTTTTAAATATTCTGCATTGATAAATTTTTTAAAAAATCATAAAATATGAAGTGATTGATTATCTTACTTTTTATTTGTACAAATTTATGGGGCACAAGTGCAATTTTCTTCATGCATGATTGCATTGTAGTCAAGTCAGGTATTTTATGGCATTCATCACCCAAACAACATTGTTCCCATGAAGTAATATCTCATCATCCACCACCTCACCCTTCCAAGTCTCCATTGTCTATTATTCCATACCCTATGTCCACTTAGAAGAATATGCAAAATTTGTCTTTCTATGCCTGATGTATTTCGCTTAGGATGACAACCTTCAATTCCATCCATGTTGCTGCAAAAGGCATGATTTTGTTCTTTTGTATAGATGAATAGTATTCCGTTGTGTATATAGACCACATTTTCTTCATCTGATCATCCATTGATGAACACTTAGGTTGATTCCATGTTTTTGTATTGTGAATTGTCCTGCAATAAACATACTAATGCAGGCATCTTTTTGATAAAATGATTTCTTTTACTTTGGGTAGATACCCAGTAGATTGCTGGATAGAATGGTAGATCTATGTTTAGTTCTTCTGTTTTCCATGTATCTCATATTGAAGAAGCTGGAAAATGAAAAGTTGAATGCTGTAACAAAGCATATTTACTCTTTGAATATTTGCTGGTGATAATAATAGCTAATATTTATTGAGAGCTCACTATATGCCAGAACTTTTACAGGTTCCTTATGTGTAGATTAACTCTTCTACATCTCACAATAGTTTTCTGGGAAAGGTACGATTATTATACCCATTTTGCAGAGGAATAAATTGAAGCCCTTATGTGTGCTGAAGGGAGATTCCGCACAGGCAATCTGAGTCAAAATCCCACACTTTTACTCACCACTCCAAAAAAACAGAAATGGAATGCTATTAGACATCAAATCTATTTTCCCCCACCACTCTGACATTCTTTACCCCATGCCCACTTTCAGAAAGTTGGTTTGCTTCGTGGGCAGCTCGGTGACCGTCTCAGTGTAGAGCTAGACACTGCCCCCACCCTCGACCTCAACAGAGTCCTGGATGAAATGCGCTGTCAGTATGAAACAGTGCTCGCCAACAACCGCAGAGATGTGGAAGAATGGTTCACCATTCAGGTCAGCACCCATGCGATCAAAGGCAGACTCCACAACTCTCTCTCTCTCTCTCTCTCTCTCTCTCTCTCTCTCTCTCTCTCTCTCTCTCTCACTGAATCCGCTGTCTTTTTATTATTTTTAATTTTTAAAGATGCGGGATACAATTCAGGGTTAGGTATACAAATGGTCATTGTACAGGTAAAATTTGGGCCTCACTTTGGTCCCCACTTCACCTGGTTTGAGCTCAGGTATCCTTATTAATAAAGTGTGCCCCTTGCCAACTCTGGCAGTTTCCCACGACTGTCAATCTCTTTCATATAGTATTATGATAAATTGTTCAGGGTTCACTTATGAGTGAGAACTTGTGGTACTCAGTTCTTTGTTTTTGTGATAGATCACTGGATTCTCTAATGGCACCTGTGTTTCAGACAGAGGAGCTGAATCAGCAGCAGCTGTCCAGCACAGAGCAGCTGCAGGGCTGCCAGACAGAGATCCTGGAGCTGAAACGCACAGTCAACGCTCTGGAAATTGAGCTTCAAGCACAGCAAAGTTTGGTGCGTATGGCAGAGGCAGTGTCAGTTGTGTCCCAGATAGGTCAGGCCCTGAGATGCCATGTCCTCTTCCATAAGCCAAGGGTTACACGCCCTTACCTTTTGCAACCACTGCCACTTACCAGCTAGAAACAGAAGTGACAGGTCCACAGCTTGTATTGTTCCCTGAGGATACTAAACTTCTCTCCTGTGCTTGAGCCTGATACTGCAGCATCCTCCAGAGATGGGGGGGAGCAGACATGGGCAGAGCAAGAGAGGCACCTTTGAGCCCAAGGTGTTCGATCATTCCAACGGCTTGCATTCTCCTTTCATTCAGGCCAGTTTTCCAGACTCACTGTCATATCTAAAACAAAGAGTCATTTCCAAACTTTTCATCCCACAACTATTCCAAGTTTCCCAGGATCCATACTTCAATCTGTCCCTCCATTTCGTCCCACTCCATCCAAGCAACCAGAATACCATCCATGCAAGATTATATTAGCCAGTTCCAGTCAAACATTGCTGTGTACGTTATATTAGGTCCCATGGAGCATGCCCAGAAGGATAATAGCCAAGCATTCTTTTGTGAGAGGACCACATTAATATAGGCCTCACAATAAATTTATGGGGTAGATATCTTTCCCCCATTACACAGATAAGGAAAACTGAGACTCCAGATTAAGTAACATCTGAGAGGCAAACATGGAAGCAGAATCCAGGAGGTTCAATTCCAGAGTCTTTTTTCTTTTTTAAATTTATTTTTTATTGGCATATAACATTCATATGTATTTATGGAACACATGTGATATTTTGTCATATGCACAGAATGTTTAATGATCAAGTCAGGGTATTTAGGTATCCATCACTTCAAGTGTTTACCATGTGTTGGAAACATTTCAAGTCCTCTCTTCCAGCTATTTTGAAATATATAGTACATTGTTGTTGACTATAGTCACCCTACTCTGATATCAAACATTAGAACCTATCCCTTCTATCGAACGGTGTGTCTGTACCTATTAACCAACCTCTCTTCATCCTCCACCCTATACCCTTCCCAGCCTCTGCTGTCCAGAGCCTCTTCTCTTAACCACACTATAGCACCCCTCCTTGCCAGAAGCCTAACTCAATGTTTCCTCTCCAGTGCTGTTCATCATCCTTGAGTTACACAGATGTATCAGGGGTTGCTGCAGCCATCGTGATGGTCATAATAGCTGACACTTACACAGCCCTTAAAATGTTCCAGGCACTGTTCTAAGTGTTTTACACATATCAACTCACTTAATCTTTACAACTCTCCTATGAGACAGGAATTTGCACTTCCCACTTTATATAAAATAAAACTGAGGCTCAGAGAAATTGAGGAATTTGCTCAAGGTCACATCGCTAGAAAAGGATAGAGTAAGGATTTGAAAACAGGCAATCTGGTTCTAGAGATTGTGCTTTATGGACCTTTAGACAATGTTTCCTCCTGCAGACAGAATCTCTCGAATGCACCATGGCAGAAACTGAGACCCAGTACAGCTCCCAGCTGGCCCAGATCCAGTGCCTGATCGATAACGTGGAGAACCAGCTGGCTGAGATCCGCTGTGACTTGGAGCGGCAGAACCAGGAGTACCAGGTGCTGCTGGACGTGAAGGCCCAGCTGGAGAGCGAGATCACTACGTACCAGGGCCTTCTGGATAGCGAGGACTGCAGGCAAGTTCCACAGTTACCTCTGAAATCCCCAGAGTCACAACAAGGCCTGTGTAGCACCATCCTGTTTCCCCAAGGTCTGGCCAAGGTCAAACCTCCCTCGTGTGTGAAGGGATCTTCTTACAATAGTGATGCAAAGTGGCTGAGGCTAAGCACATGACAATAGTAACATTCTAAAACAGTCTAAGGTTTTAAAGCAGAATAATCCTCACACATAATATTTCATGCGGGGCGTCTCTCTCTGCTCCTGTTTTCCACTAATGAGAAATCAGGGGCAGGCCTAAGATAGCATTTGAAAAATAAAGAAAAAAATATAGAATATTATTCAACTTCCACTGCTACAGTGAACGTGATGAAATAGGCTTCGATCAAATGCTATTCTGCAAAGTCCTAATTCTTAGAACACAATTTACTGTAGGACACATTTTGACATCATTTTCCTGAGTTAACATTTTATCAAGATTCCCTCGTTAAGCTTAGTGTAAAATTGTTTTTCCCCAGGCTTCCCAGTAATCCATGCTCTACCACATGCACGTCAAGCAACACGTGTGAGCCCTGCTCAGCCTATGTAATTTGCGCAGTTGAAAAATGCTGTTCATGAATGTTAAACACCAGCCAGCGGATGGAGGAATTGAAACCAGTGATGTCTTAGAAAGGACATGGAACTTCAGCCAGGGGCATCCAAACTGGAAACATGAGTCCAGAAAGGTTTCATATCCTGGAATAGTCCTCCAGATATCCTGCGTCTATTTCTGTGTTACACTTCCTCTTCCCCCGACTCATTTGTGGTATTCTGGGAACCCATAAAGCTTTCTTGCTCATCTCCAAATAAAATGTATGTCTCATTCCTTTAGGATGGCAAATATAGTTTGGGGCCAATTGCCGATGATTATACTATTTATTTTATGGCAGGGGAATTGTCTGAACCCATGACTATAGTTTGAATTTACAAAAACTCAGGCTGGTGCCTCAACTACAAATAGATGAACCAATTCGTGCAAAACATCACATATCATAGAAGACAGTGATATGTATCTTTCTGAAAGAAAATTTAGGAAGAAGAAGATATGGTAAATTGGTAGGGCATGATGGCTCTTGCCTGTAATCCCAGAGCTTTGGGAAGCTGAGATGGGAGGATTGCTTGAATCCAGGAGTTCGAGACCAACCTGGGAAACACAGCAAAGACCCTATCTCTACAAAACATAAACATAAATAAATAATAAATTATATTCATTGTGCTTCATTTCTTTTTTATTTTAAAGATGTGGGAGTACAAGTCTGGATTAGGTACATAAGTGGTCTACGTATAGGTGAAGTTTGGGCCTCCCACTGGACCTCACTTCACCTGGATTGAGATCAGGCACCTTTACTGATGTTGTGCTCCATCGCCTCCCCACCCTCCCTCCCCCGGCAGTGTCCTGCTACTGCCAACCCTTTTCTTGTAGTACTAGGTTCTCCTTTTTAAAATGTGACACAGTAAAGAGGGGAAGCTCACTTATAATTTTATCTCCCAAACATCCATTGTCAACGTTTTAAGAAATTGTATTCTAGTTTTCTTTCTTATAATAGGCTGCTCCGCACAGTTTTAATAATACTTATATATGCACATAGTTGTGCAATTCTTTAAAAGTTTTTGTCATCTAAACATTCTCAATTCTAATAAAAATGCAAGATTGTCTTATGGCCATCATGTCACTGGTAGCATAATATAACATGAAGTACACTATTTTGTTATTGGGCATTTAAGTAATAAGAATAATTATTCCTATACACATAAAAGACGAAGTAGAAGGCCAGGTGCAGTGGCTCAACCCTGTAACCCCTAACTCTTTAATGTGTGTGCCCATTTAATGATGGGAGATTTACAGGCATACATGCCCACACCACGTTGAGTGTTCAGCCGTTTCTGACCATAACCAAATGACCCCAGCGCCCCACCCTTCCTATTCACCTGATCTCACCCCCAACAATTTTTTGTTTGTTTGTTTCCCAAGATGAAGTAAGTCCTTAAAGGGATACATTTTGTCAATGTAGAAGAGATGAAACAAAGAGCATCCAAAACACCTTAAAAGGCATTAAAATTTCCCATTTTAAAACCTGTTTTGAGCAGTGGAAAAGGCATCTTAATAGGTGTATTGCATCAAATGAAGAGTATTTAAAGGTGACTGAAGTTTAACTATGTAAGGACAAATACACAATTTTTATAAATAAATTCACAGTTTTGGGGTACCCCCTTGTAACTATGTAGCTAATCTGCATATGTGCCCCTTGACTCTAACAATGACAACAACAATAAAACGATAGACCCCCTCAGCAAGATATTTCACAATGTCTTAGGAAAGTAAACATGCAACTGACCTGCAACTTGAAAATTGCATTCATGGGCACTAATGTTTACAGCAGCTTTAGTCATGATAGCCCCACATTGGAAGCAATCCAGGTGATTTTCAATGGTTGAATAGTTAAACGAAGGTCACTGTAGCAGGAGTTTTGAACTCCACTGTCAACTTAAACCAGTCAGGTTCTTCTCAACTGAGAAGATTGCAGAATGCGGACAAGCAACAAAGTTATCCAGAGAAGAGAGGGGGCTCAAAATGTGTAACCCGGTGCTAGGAGGGTTTTTGTGTGTGTGTGTGTGGTTTTTATCTTATCTTTCCTGGGCGTTTCTCTCACTTGCATCTCATCCACCCCTAACTTCTTAAGAGCAAATTCTTATCACCCTCTCTGTCTGCCTAACTTTGGGAGGTCAAGGCAAAAGGATTGCCTGAGCTCAGGGGTTCAAGACCAGCCTGGGCAACTTGGCGAGACCTTGTCTCTACAACATATCAAAAAATTAGCTGGGCATGGTAGCGTGTGCCTGTAGCTCTAGCTACATGGAAGGCTGAGCAGAAGGATCGCCTGAGCCCAGCAGGTTGAGGCTGCAGTGGTTGTGAGTGTGCCACTGCACTCCAGGCTGGGCAACAGAGTGAGACTCCAAATCAAAAAAAAAAAAAAAAAAACTTACAGCCGGGCATGATGGCTCACCCTGTAATCCCAGTACTTTGGGAGATAGAGGCAAGAGGATTGTCTGAGTCCAGGGGTTTGAGACCAGCCTCGGGAACTTGGTGAGACCTCATCTCTACAACAAATAAAAAAACTAGCCGGGCGTCTGTGGTTCCAGCTACTTGGAAGGCTGAGGCTTAAGGATTGCCTAAGCCCAGCAGGTTGAGGCTGCAGTAGCTGTGAGTGTGCCACTGCACTCCAGCCTGAGTGACAGAGTGAGATTCAGATACACACACACATACACAAAAGACAAAGTAGAGAATTTCTACCTTCAGAAAGATGAAGGACATGTGCATTTTCCTATTCTTCTTCTTAAGAAAAAAGTTGGAAATTATATATAAAACAAACATGAGAAGACTCTGAAATGTAGCAGAAGAAGTCAAACCAGCTAGAGATCTTGAGGCCTAGGAATGGCACTGTGGTGGACTCCCTGGGTGTTATTTTTATTGCAAATATACAGAGTGGAAGTTGGAGAAACCAACAACCCAGAAACACCAACAGGGGCAGACAACAAAGAAATTTCTCTCAACAGAACCAGAAGAGGGTCTGCCTAGCAAGACAGAATACCTTTAGACAACAACCACTCAACTCAGCCAAACACCACAGGAAAAAAATGGACTTTCCCACCCCTATCCCTATCAGGAAAGGCCAAGTGGCAAGTCTAGACTTCATGCTTCCCAGACTATAGCAAGGCACCCAAACTCCCCCACCCTGAGGTGGAGTCAGAGAAGGGCAAGTGGGATATCCAGGACTTCTATTCGTACCATGACACACTGAGGCATCCCACCACAGTGCCTGTGGAGACCACACGGGCAAGCTGACTTAACACCACCAAGCAGCATGAGACATCCCCCTCTCCTCTGGGCTGATGTTGAAACGGGCCTGCTGGAAAGTCACCCAGCAGTAACAAGGCCACCTCTATGCAGTGACAGTGGAGGCCACATGGGAGCAGTAAGGAGACGTTCCTGCCCCTCCCAGCCAGGGTGGTATCAGAAGAGACTGAAATCCCGCCCCTCCCGCAGTAATGAGGAGCTCTCCTCAGGGTGGCAGTGGAGGCCATGAGAACCCAGACTTGCAATCCCACCTGGCAGTAACAAGGCAGCAACCCCTTTCTCCTACAAAAACAGTGACAGAAGAGACCTACCAAAGCAAGAAATTGAAATAATATCCTAGAGGGTTTTTTTTTATCATAATACCCCAATATCCAGGCTTCAATCCAAAATTACTCTTCATACCAAAACCCAGAAAAATCTCAATTTAAATGAGAAAAGACAATCAGCAGATTCCAACACCAAGAAGACAAAGATGTTAGAATTATCTGACAAGGATTTTAAACCAGCTATCATAACAATGCTTCAACAAGCAATGCTTCAATAAACTCTTATAACAAATGAAAAAAACAGAAAACTTCAGTAAAGAAGTAGAAAATATAAAGAGTTGAATGGAAATTTGGGGACTGAAAAATACTGTAAAACCAAGAGATAGCCTCCATGAATGGGCTCAATCAACAGCAGAATGGACAAGCTGGGGGGGGGGGGGAGTGAGGATCAGGATCAGTGAATTTGATGACAGAATAATAGATATCACCCAACATGAAAAGCAGAGAAGAAAGAGCATTAAAAAATAGAACCTCAGGAAATGTTAAGGCTACATCAAAAGATCTAGAATTCATATCATCAGCGTTCTATAAGGGAAGGAGAAAGAAAGTAGGGCAGAAAACATATTTGAAAAAATAAAGGCTGAAGTTTTTCCAAATTTGGCAAAAGATAAAAACATACAGATTCAAGAAGCTAGCAAATTCCAAAACACGATGAATTTCAAAGAAACTCACACCAGGAAAGATCAGTTATGAAAGCAGTGGAAGACAAATTACACTTTGCTAACAGGAGAAAAACTATTTACATTATTGCTGATTTGCCACCATAAACCTTGGAAGCCAAAGGAAGTGGCACAACATTTTTCAAGTGCTAAAAGAAAAAAAAAACTGTCAACCTAGATTTCTATATCCAGTGAAAATATCCTTCAGGAAAAGAAAGAGCAACCAAGACATTCTCAGGCAAAGGAAAGATAGAATAAATTTTGTCAGAAGCAGACACCATTTCCAGGCCATTGTGACCATTGCCTTGCTAAACTATGGTGTGGCCATGTGCTCTTTGAGCTATGGCCAGGCCATGTTTTCTTAAGCTTTGGCCCCCTGCCCTAACTTGGGAAGTTGAATCTCTCCTCTCTCTCTCTCTCTCTCTCCCTTTCTCTCTCTCTCTCTCTTTCTCTTTCTAATTTAGTTTTTAAATAAACTATACTTTCTAATCTAAAAAAATGGCTAAAGGAAGTTCTCTAAACACAAATGAAATTAGAAAATAAGAACCCTTGGAATATCAGGTAGAAAAAAAGATATAACAAAAAATTAAAATATGAAGAATATAGATTTTTCTCTTTCTGTGTTTTCTAAATTATGTTTCATGGTTTAAGCAATAAGTATATCACTGTCTAATGTGGTGTTCACTGTATGTGTAGAAATATTTAAGACAAGTATATTAAAATGGAGAAAAGAAAAGGAATATAAACAGAGGTAATGTTTCTACATTTCACTTAAACTGATAAAACGTTGGCACTAGTAGACTACAAGCTATGTATACATCATGTAATACATAGAGCAACCATTTTAAAAGTTATGCAAGAAGATATACTAAAAAACACGATGGATAAGTCAAAGTAGAATTCTAAAACATATTCAAGTAACACACAGGAAATCAGGAAAAAGAAAATAGAGACCAGGACAGTGGCTCACTCTTGTGAGCCAGTACTTTGGGAGGCTGAGGCAGGAGAATTGCGTGAGCCCAGGAGTTCAAGATCCACCTAGGCAATATTGCAAGACATTGTCTCTACAAAAAAAGAAAAAGAAAAAGAAAGAATTAGCAGGGCATGGAGGCATCTGCCTGTAGTCCCAGGTACTTGGGAGGCTGAGGTGGAAAGATCGCCTGAGCCCAGGAGGTTGACGCTGCAGTGAGCTGTGATAGTGTCACTGCACTCCAGCCTTGGCACAGAGTGAGAACTTGACCCTACCCCACACCCCCTAGAAAAATAAAAAACTAGAGAAACAAACAATAAAGAAGTAACAAATAGAAAACAAAAAATAAAATGCAGACTATACATCAATAATTACAGTAAATGGAAATGGTCTACACAGACCAGTGAAAAAACAGATTGGTAGAGTAGATTTGAAAGCATGATCCAACTGTTTGATGCTTTCTGCAAGAAGCTCACTTCAAAAAAGATGATATGAAGGGACCCTCCCTTCCCGCCAAAAAATTGAATTATTTTTTGGAGGGCAGGTCCCTTGTACTACAGGCTTCTCACACTAGTTGAGTGTTCTAGGAACCCGTCAGCATCAGTGTACCAGCTAGTGTTGTTATGAGAAGCTGCGGTAGGCTTCAGTGAATTTTTTTCCCCATTTCATGATGGGAGATTTACAAGTGTACCTGCTTACAGCATGCTGAGTGTTCAGCAGTTTTCGACCAAAGACATCATGACCCCCATCTACCCCCCCATTCACCCTATCTCACCCCGAATGACTTTTCTTTGTTTCCCCAGATGAAAAAAGTTCTCAAAGAGAAACATTTTGTCAATGCGAAAGTAGTGAATCAAAAAACTGCAGAAGCACTAAAAGGCATCAAAATGGATGAGTTCAAAATCCATTCTGAGCAGTGGAAAAAGCATCTCAATGGGTGTATTACATCCAATGGACAGTACTTTGAAAGCAACTGAAGTTTAAACACGTAAGAATAAATACACAATTTTTTATGAGTAAATTCCAGGTTTTTGGGTGCCCCGCTCATATAGGTGAGTTGAAAGTAAAAGAATGAAAAAGACACACAATTGTTCCTAGCAGCTTTGTTTGGATTAGTCAAAAACTAAAACAACCGAAATGTCTTCAAGATCCCAAGGCCATCATGCTGAGTGGAAAAGGACAATCCCAGGGGACCGAGAGGATACACTTAATCAATAAGGGTCCCTGATCTCAAACCAGGTGAAGTAGGGACCAAAGTGAGACCCAAACTTTTCCTGTACAATGACCATTTGTATACCTAACCCTGAATTGTACCCTACATCTTTAAAATACAATTTAAAAAAAAAAAAAAAAAACAGAAAAAGAACAATCTCAAAGGGTTATCACATACCACATAATCCTACCTGTATGACATTGCTGAAATGGCAATATAATAAAGATGGAACAAATTAGGTGTAGCACGAAGGAGGTCTTTGTGATGATTAAATAGTTCCATATCTTGATTGCACTGATGGCACATGAATCTACATGTGTGGGAAAAAATTATACAGAATTAAGCATGCATATTGCTTCTATGTCAATTTCCTGATCTTACAATTGCACTATAGTGTAACTATTGGAAGAAAATAAAGTACACAGAACTTTGCTGTACTATCTATGCAAATTCTGTGAATCTATAATTATTTCAAAATATCAAAGTTAGATAAAAACACACAGTAGAAGGCTAGAGAAAAGTTCTCCTCTTCACATTTCTATCTTTTGAGTACTCAGAAATAAAGCTAATAATAATAATAATAATAATAATAATTAGTACAGGGTAGTTTTTAAACAGTCAAGTTTCAGACCTATACTTTTATGCTAAATGTTTTTACATAGTTCTCTCATGATTTCACAATGAAAAATAGTGAAAATACTCAAGGAAAAATATTTTTCAGATAAATAAACCCATGGAATATTATTCAAACTTCATTACTTCTCTCATAATAAGATTGGGGAAAAAATGTAAGAGTACAGTGCTATAAAATTACAAATTCCAACCGCCTGGAAGCTTCCACCATATAAATCTTATAGACTGTCTGTCATTGACCTATTCTCTATCTTTGCTATGATTTCCTGTCTGACTTGATTATGATTGTGGTGATGTTATGTTTTTGTTTAAATTTTCTCTGTAATGATTCCCAATGAACTATATCCCAAGTTTCCTATCAGAAAGATGTAAGTAACTACCTTCCGTTATATGCGACATTTTTGTGTGGATCAATTAATTTATTTGTATCTGAGGAGTTAAAAATGTTTTTTCAGCCTGGGTTTATGCAAAATCAAAATGTAACTAAAATGCAGAAATATCTTTAGCACAAGATGATGGCCACTTTGGGGGCCCTCGTGTTTCATTTAGTCCTTCACAGATAGTTTTACCGTTTTTATATAGTATTGTTCTAGACATTATGTTAAAGATGTAGGTTAATTCTGGATCTGACCTTTTTTAGGAAGCTAGCCGCCCTGCTCTAAATGGTGTTAGGATGGGAGGGCTCACGTTTTTTGACCACTTGGAGAGACCAAATGACTTTTCCTTTCTGCCTTTCAACAAAGATTTTTAAAAAATTAAAAGTCTAGGGTCATTAGATATATATCTACTTTAGCAGTCATGAATTGGGTAGCAATTCATATATTTTTAAGTCTGATTACTGGGCATTTATAGACCAAAATTATTTTTATATAAATCTGGATCCTTGTATATTCTATCATCAACAAAACAACCCACAACAAATTAGTTAATAATCACAATAAACTGAGAGTAAATTATACATAAAGAGCAAGAATTTCAGCCATTGAAAATGTTGACATCTCAACACAGTACTTAGAGGCCCCCTCCAAATTATAGGAATCACAACTTTTTCCACGTGGACACACATACTAGGCATTATCCTGGATTGGCAAGCATTGAAACAGGAGTTGTGATCTTTGATAGAAAAATAAGACCTCCTACAGTAAAATCTAGGAGAGTTCTAATTTTTTTATTAAGAATATAATATCTTCATGTCTTTAATAATTCAGTTAATAAGATACCAATCTTCTTTGCACTTAGTGTTGCACAAGAATTATAATCTAAAATAGGACACGTGACACATCTGTAAAAAAGATAGTCAAAAAAAGGCTGGGGACTTGCATTCTGGGTTCTGTGTACAGCTCACCAAGAGGATCCTTGATTGATTCTGAAAGTGACACATTAATTTGTGAGATGTACATAAAAACATAAAGAAGAAAATAACAATCATCAATAACTACAAACTGTAAAGAATTCCACTGTTAACCTTTTGATAAATCTCCTTTCAGTTTTTTTTTTTTAAACACATTTAGGAACTATTAGAGTCAAACTTATCCATTTTAAGTGGTTTCTTAATTTCAGGTCACTGTGACAACGGTCTTTTTCATTTTTTTATATTTATATGTTTTATTTTAAAGATGTGGGGTACAATTCAGGAATAGGTATACAAGTGGACATCATACAGGTAAAGTTTGGGCCCTTTGGTCCCCACTTTGCCTGACTTGAGATCAGGTACCCTTATTGATGTTATGTGCCGCCCCCTTGACCCTGGCAGTATCCCGCTACCATCAATCCCTTTCTTATAGTATTGTAGTAAATGTCCAGGGTCCACTTATGAGTGAGAACATATGGTACTCAGTTCTTTGTTTCTGTGATAGATCACTGAGTATTATAGGCTCTAAATCCATCCAAGTTGCTGTGAAGTTCATATGTTTGTCCTTCTTTATGGCTGCATAATAGTCCATTGTGTATATGTACCACCTTTTTAAAACTCCAGTCCAGTTTGGATGGGCAGCATGATTGGTTCCATGTTTTTGCTATTGTGAATAGTGCTGCAATAAATACGCGTGTGCAGGTGTCTTTTTTACAGAATAATTTGAGTTCCTCTGGGTATATTCCCAGCATAGGGATTGCTAGGCCATATAGAAGGTCAGTTATTAGTTCTTTTAGAAATTGCCACACTATAGAGGTTGAACTAGTTTGCATTCCCACCAGCAGTGTAGAAGCATTCCCTTTTCTCTGCATCCTCACCAGCATCTGTTGTTGTTTGTTTTATTAATGATGGACAGTCTTACTGGGGTTAGGTGGTATCTCAGTGTGGCTTAATTTGCATTTTTCTGATGATTAGTGAGGTTGAGCACTTTTTCATGTGTCTGTTGGCTGCCCATATATCTTCTTTTGAGAAGTATCTATTCATGTCTTTTGCCTATTTTTTATTTGTTTAACTTTTTAATTATTTTATTTTATTTTTTAAATTGTGGGGTACAATTCAGGGTTAGGTATACAAATATTCATTGTGCAGATACCCTTGTTGATGAGGTGTGCCCCCTCTCCCCAGGCAGATCTCCACTACTGTCAATCCCACCTCCCTGCCCCCCTCTTCCCTCCCCCCCACTGTCAATCCTTTTGTTATAGGATTATGGTAGTTGTTTTTGACCACTTTTTATTTTTATTTATTTTATTTATTTATTTTTGAGTTGGAATCTCACTCTGTTGCCCAGACTGGAGTGCAGTGGCCACTCTCGGCCACCGCAGCCTCGACCTGCTGGGCTCCGGCGATCCTTCCGCCTCAGCCTTCCAAGTAGCTGGAACTACAGGCACGCGCTACCACGCCCGGCTAATTTTTTGATTTATTGTAGAGATGAGGTCTCTGCCAAGTTGCCCAGGCGGGTCTCGAACCCACGGGCTCAGGCAATCCACTCACCTCAGCCTCCCAAAGGCGCAGGATTACAGGCTGAGCCACCGAGCCCGGCTTTGACCACTTTTTAATGGAGCTGCTTTTTTTCCTTTCGGCACATTTGAGTTCCTTGTAGATCCTGGATGTTAGGCCTTTGTCAGATACACAGTTGGCAAGTATTTTTTCCCATTCTGTGGGCTGTCTCCCCACTCTCTTGATGGTTTATTTTGGACAAAGGCATTTCTCACCCTGAATTTGTAAAAGAATTTTCCTAGGTCTTCAGCACATTTATGATTTCCATTTTTCCTTTAAAAAAATTCATCTTTTATCTATTGATAGATAAACATTTGAATCTTTTATCTATTTTTAAGTATATGAATAAAATAGTAAACATTCAAGTAGCTACATAATTGTATCAAATTCTAAATTTTTATACTAACTGTACCTTATTGAGATATAATTTTCACACAATAAAATGCATCAGGTGAAAATATGCAGTTCATGAAGTTTGGAAGACATAAACTCATGAAATCAATACCCAGATCAGCATATAGAATAGAATTTTAAGATATAGGATATCAACCTTGAAAATTTCTTCATGCTACTCTCCAGCCAACCCACCTCTCCTACAGAGGCAACCACTATTCTGATATCTAACACTGTAGATGAGTTTTACCTGTTGTTGGAGTTAATATGAATGTAATTATACTGCCCGCCTTTTTTTTGGCCTGACTTCTTCAGCTCAATATGTTTTTGAGATTCTCTCTTGTGAGTACCAATAGTTCATTCTTTCTTGCTGTTGAGTACTACTTCATTATATAAATATGCCATAGTTTGTGGACCCATTATCTTGTTTATGAGCAGTTGTGTTATTTTCATTTTGATGCTATTAGGAATATACCTATTCAACTTGGATGGACTTAGAGGTTATAATACTGAGTGATCTATCACAGAAACAAAGAACTGAGAATCACATGTTCTCACTCATAAACGAACCTTGAACAACTATTGTAAAACTATAAAGATGGGATTGGCAGTAGTGAGAAACTGCCAGGGAAGGGTGGGATGGCATTGGCAGTAGTGGGAAACTGCCAGGGGAGGGGGCACACCTCATCAACAAGTGTATCTGCATGATGAACATTTGTATACCTAATCCTGCATTGTACCCCACAGCTTTAAAATTTTAAATTTTTTTTAAAAAGAATATAGCTGCTATACACATTCTTATACAAGTCATTTTGTATAAGTCTTTTTGTTGGCCCTTTGGGGGTCCCTCATCATTTATATACGTGTGTGTGTGTGTGTGTGTGTGTGTGTGTGTGTGTGTGTGTGTAAAATATGCGTGTGCACATATATACAGTCATGTGCTGCATGACATTTCAGTTAATAATGGAACACATATAATAGTGATTGCATAAGATTGTATCTTTTTTTACTGTACCTTTTCAATATTTAAATATTTCAGATACACAAATACCATTGTGTTACAATTGCCTACCGTATTCAGTAAGTAACACATTGTACAGGTTTAAAGAGAAGGAGCAATAGACTATACCATATAGCCTAAGTGTGTTGTAGGCTATACCATCTAGGTTTGTGTAACTATGCTATAATATTCACGCAACAATAAAATCACCTAACGATGCATTTCTTAGAATGCATCTTTTTCGTTAAATGACACATAATTGTGTGCATAAGGGGGAACAAAAGAAAACTGGAATTATTTTTTAGAGGGCAGGCCCCTTGTAGTACAGGTTTCCCCCACTAGGTGTTTTAGGAATGAGACACTGCGTTTGACTTCAGCGAAAAGCAAATTTTTTTTTTAAGAATCTTTCAATATATTTGCCTATCTCATGATGGGTGATTTACAAGCACACCTGCCCACTTATGAGTGAGAACATGTGTTTGTTTATGGATAGATCACTGAGTATTATAGCCTTTAAACCCATTCAAGTTGCTGAAAAGTTCACACCTGACTTGCCATTGATTTTAAATGTGATGCTTATTATACTAAATTCCAATCTCTTTTAGGGTCTATTTCTAGACTTCTTTTTTTACTCTATTGGTCTATCTTACTTTTCATATATTAATACCATGCTATTTTAATCACTGAGGCTTAAGAATATATTTTAGCATCTGGAAGATCTATTTTTCAGAGTTTTCCTGGCTATTTCTACTTGTCTAATTTTTCTCATAAAACTTCAGAATTATTTTACCTGTTGAAAAAAAATCTATGTTTGGAGGATCTCAATAAATTTATTGGACTCTAAGATAAATTAACATAGAGAAAACTGATATTTTTAATAAAGATGAATATTATTTTTCTAAGGACTTCGTTCTACTTTTTCTAGTTTTCTGCGCTTCAGTATATTCTAACATTTTATCCATGTAGATCTTGTACTTTTGTAACTAACTTTATTCCTACATTTTATATATTTGTTTGTGCTGATAAATTATGATTTTTCCCCTTCTATTCTACAGTTTATAGAATAATGGGCCCCTAAAGATGTCTATGTCCTAATCCCAGAACCTGTGGATATGTTAGGCTACAGGACAAAGAGGAAGAAAGTTTGCCAATCAGCTAACGTTAAAATAGGAAGTTTATCCTGGATTATCTGGGTGGACCCAGTGTAATCACAAGGATCCTTGAACGCAGAAAAAGGATACAGAAGCATCTGTGCCAGACTGATATAACATGAGACTCAAGTGTCCTTTGCTGACTTTGAAAATGGAAGAACCTCAAATCAAGAATGTAGACTGCCTCTAGAAGCTGAAAAAGGCAAGAAACAATTCTCCCCATAAAGGATCGGGAACAAATAACTTTCTCAAGAAAATGCTAAGTATTCCTCAGAAAGAACACATATACCCTTAAATGTATCCTATTTAAACAACCAATATAAAGCAATACCAAGACTAATTTCTAGCTGATGTAATACCACGAGCGAACACTGAGCACTGAAAATATTATAAAATGTGAGCTTTGGAAAAATAAAAAATAACCAGTCTCTTTTCCAATAAATATTTTATTAGCAATTAAACTCTGGGACTATAGCACGCATCACCACTCCCAGCTAATTTTTTTTATTTATTGTAGAGACGAGGTCTCACTAAGTTGCCTGGGCTGGTTCCGAACCCCTGGGCTCAAGCAATCCTCTAGCTTCCACCTCCAAAAGTGCTGGAAAAACTAAAATATGAATCCAGCAATTACTTTTAAACCCATGCTCACAATGGCCTAACGATGACAATGGGAAAATCAGTGGAACAGAACAAAATAAAATACTGGTTTCTACATTCACCAATAATTATTAGATATTAATAGTTTTCCTTTTCTAGGAAAGAAAAGAAAAAAAGAATGAACTCATTCCTGAGCCAGCTTCATACCAAGCAGAGAGGGCAACAAGAACTTAATGAACTTCATAAACTCACACCTGCTTAATAATGGATGCCGTGAGGGCTGTGACGACAGTTTCTTTTGAAGACCTAATGTGAAGCTTTGGGTCCAATGGCAAGTGGTAGTTGTGATGGGTAATAACTTAGTAACAGCCTAAATGCACATTTTTATGAGACAAGTAGCTCTTCTCCGGCAAGTAAAAAGGAGACTAATGAGATGTTCCTATGGGATTTGATATAAACATGAGAAAGGAAAACATCCCACCTGTGTGACACCACTAGGCTATATAAGCACTTCAAAGAGGAAAAAGTCAAGAGGCTTGGAATTTAGACTCAGTGGAGGTTCCTGAAGCTCTTCATCCTGGTGACCGCAGACTTTGGTATAGACTAAAGCTGGACACACACTATGGATACCAAGGGCTGTACAGCAACAATTTCTTCTTCCACCCCATCCCAAAACTGCCCTAGGATTACAAATGTTAGCATCAACTCTTCTAACAACAGCTGCCATCATGGTGATCTTGAAGCCAACAGCTGCCAACAGGTTAGCCACGTTCTGAGAACTCCCCAGGACCAAGGTTGCCGACACACTCCTTGGTTTCACCATACGCCCGTCTATGTAATAAGCAATTTCAACGCCTGTCGCTCTCTGGATGACTGCTGCTGGTATGGCGAAGGCATTAACAGTAATGAGAAAGAGACCATGCAGATCTTAAATGAACGCCTTGCTAACTACCTGGAAAAGGTGCGGATGCTGGAACAAGAAAACGCCGAACTGGAGTCTAAGATCCAGGAAGAGTGTAAGAAAGAGCTTCCTGTCCTATGCCCTGACTACCTGTCCTACTACACTGCCATTGAGGAGCTCCATCAGAAGGTAAGATTCTTAGGAACCCATGTGATTAAGTTATGAACTGGTGGTCTCCAAGCAATAGTTATTTGCTAAACATTAATATGTTTAGTTCATTTGATGTTGAAAATTTTCTTGAAGAATGAGAAAATCTCTTGAGTGAAATTGTCCTCTTTAGGCGACATTCAGAGTTTGATATTAATAGTTTTTCCTTTTTCCAGAGATACACTCTGCCATTATAACCAGATAACTTAGGATCAAAGCATGTTAACCACAAACTGCTACCACAGGGATCAGAAAAAATATTTGTCTTAATTATTTTCAAAACAGTTTAGCTTTTGTTCATTTTGCAACCACCACCACCTTTTTCTCCTTTTATGCTTATGCAATTATCTCCAAATGGCTTAGTGTGTTTCTACACCAAACTTAACTTTCCTATACAGAACAACATGTTGCTACTACCCATCTGGATTTATTCAATTTTATTTGTCAACAAATATTTACTGGGCAGCAACAAAATTTGGCAAGCATTATTTTTGGCTCTGGGGAAATATTGGTGAACTTTAAAAAGTCCCTATCCTCATGGAGTTTCCATTGTAGTAGATCACTAATTAGCAGCATTTCTTTCCCTTTCTTGTGCAGCCTAACATATCACAGGTTCTGGGTGTAGGAAATGAACATCTTTTGTGGCCCATTATTCTCTATACTATAAAATGAAAGGGAAGACCCCAAAATTTACCACAGCATCAACAAATATAAAATATAAAGGAACAAAGTTAGTTAGAAAGGTACAAGATCTACATGAGTAACATGTATGTTGTGCAAATTTTGTATCGATAATAAACTCACACCTTAATAAATAAATAAATATATATGTTTGGAGTTTTTTTTTTAGTCAAAGTCTTACTCTGTTGCCCAGGCTGATGTGCCACAGTGGCACGATCACAGCTACTGCAGACTTGACCTGCTGGGCTCAGGTAATCCTTCCGCCTCAGCCTTCCAAGTAGCTGGGACTATAGGTGTGTACCACCACTCCCAGCTAATTCTTTTATTTATTGTAGAGATGAGGTCTCACCATGTTGCCCAGGCTGGTCCCAAACCCCTGGACTCAGGCAATCCTCTCATTTCCACCTCCCAAAGTGCTGGGATTATTACTATGAGCCACCACGTCCAGCTGGATTTTATATTTTACAGAAAAATAAGTACACAAGTCTCTATTTAAGTAGTTTTTTGCTGATTGTGTAGGAAAATAACAAGAATTCTGACTTCCTAAAGCTTCCCAACCTTCCTGAGCATAGCTATGAAGACTAATTAAAAAGTCTAATTAGCCTTTGCCTACTAATTGAAATACACACAAGCCCCTTCGTTCTTTTTTTTTTTTTTTTTTTTTTTTTTGAGTTGGGAGTCTTACTCTGCTGCCCAGACTGGAGTGCAGTGGCCGCTCCCGGCCACCGCAGCCTCGACCTGCTGGGCTCTGGCGATCCTTCCGCCTCAGCCTTTCAAGTAGCTGGAATTACAGGCATGCGCTACCACGCCCGGCTAATTTTTTTTTTTTTTTTTAATTGTAGAGATGAGGTCTCGCCAATTTTCCAGTTGGGTCTTGAACCCACGGGCTCAGGCAATCCACTCACCTCGGCCTCCCAAAGCACGGGATTGCAGGCTGAGCCACCAAGCCCGGCCAGCCCCTTGTTTCTTAAAGAAGGATCTGCTGGTGTTTGTCTCATTTGTGTGTACAATTTCTTAATTCTAGATCTTGTGCACCAAGGCTGAAAATTCCAGACTGGTCTCACAAATTGACAACACCAAACTGGCTGCAGATGACATGAGAGCCAAGTAAGCCCACCCAACATTGTCATCGATGATAGAACTCACCCAGAGTCTGACCTAGAATTCCCAGTAAGACTATCTCCAAGTCTACTACCCTTCCTGTCCCAAACCATGTTGGACTAGCCCAGAAAAGACCTTCAAATTTAGTAAATGATTAAGATTAATAACCACCTACATGTATGCAGGACTTCCAGTTTCTAACACATGAAACCATCTGATTCCTTTGCAATAGTTCAATATGGTGTTACCCTGTTTAGGGTGAGAAAACCATGGTTTAATGAGGCTAAGTTACTTATCCAAAAGTATACAATTAGGACAAGACAGAGCCAAAATTTGGACCCAAGCTTTCTGAGCCTTAATCCAGTGCTTTTTTTCTCTCTCTCTCTCTCTCTCTTATGCTGCGTTGCCTCTAGGGGCAGAAGAAGGAAGATAAATTCCCTCCTCTTCAAGCACAGCCATGTAGCATCACCCTGGCAAACCAATTCAGGAATATTTATGAAGTCATGATATTTATCAAATGGCTTCATCTCTCAAGGGAATAAAGTATGCTAAATGTGACGCCCAGAGGAAAAATACAGAAGGTCTGCTCCTGCTTTTTCATGTCTTTCTTTTCATGTCTGGTTTTTAAAGGTATGATGCTGAGACGTCTCTACGCCAGCTGGTAGAGGCAGATATCAATGCCCTAAAGCAGATTCTGAATGCACTGACCCTGACCAAGGCTGACCTGGAGGCACAAGTTCAGTCCCTGAAGGAGGAGCTCCTTGGCCTCAAAAACAACCATGAAGAGGTGAAAGACCAAGAGAGTCATCACAAGCTAAGTCTCTAAAAATAGCATCAATTCCTTTGAGGTGCCCTTGACGAAGGTCATTTCTACTAGGCACTACTCCAGTTTTATCCCTGATAGTACCTACTGCAACTACCACTGGTTCAATGTATTATTTCACATCGTTGGCTACAACCCTTAATCTAGAGCCACATGGGGGAGAAAACCTTCACCACCCCCCTCAATTCTTCCATGAGAAGGAAGCTTCCACCCTCCCTTTTCCATGAGAAGGAAGAACCCCAATTTGTCTGTCCTCACTGGCTTCCCATTCATGTAGGCACTCACAGACTTCTGCTACCTCCTATTGGTATGAGCCAATATTGGCACAAGCCCATACTGGTATCATAGAGACAGACTATGGCCTCTCAGTACAAATCTCAACCCTATGCTGCTTCACCTATTACCTATGCCTAGAAAGGACCTATATTCTTGGAACTCTGATCTTCCTACTCAATTCTTGTTAATTTTGCACATATTTTAAAAACATGGTCCTATCTGAAATAGCCTTAAGTCATTTTATAGCATCTCAATAACACCTGTAAATCATGGATTCCTTTAATGTGTGCTATATTTCAGACACAGATAAGCTATGTTATAGCTGTTATAACTGTTAGACTGAACAAGCACACAACGGGGTCATCTGTTCAAGTGACTTCATGTTCTTTTTCTTTCCATAGGAAATCAATCCCTTACAGTGCCAGCTTGGAGACAGACTTCACATTGAAGTGACCGCTGCTCCTTCCATTGACCTAAACTGGGTTCTACAAGAAATGAGATGTCAGTATGAGTCCATCATGGAGATGAACCGCAAAGATGTGGAGCAATGGTTCAATGCGCAGGTGGGAAGAGCAGACAAGTCAAAAACAATAAGCTGGCGTTGCATTTCCATTCATCAAAGTTATGTTTTTTCCCCATAATATCCATGGTCTCTGTCTGTGTTTCAGATGGAGGAGCTGAATCAGCAAGTGGTGACCAGCTGTCAACAGCAGCAATGCTGCCAGAAGGAGTTCATAGAACTGAGACGTACTCTGAACACCCTGGAGGTGGAACTGCAGGCTCAGCACCGAATGGTACCCAGCAAGCTGACCAAGCTTAACACAGCAGTGATGCCAACAGCTCCTGACACCTGCGTGTTGCATTTGTTCCCAAACTGTGTCTCTCAGAACAACAGTTCCTCATTTGTTAAGGGGACTATGCCCAAAAAGGGACTTTGTGGTCAAATAAGTCTGGGAAATGCTGTATTAGACAAAGGTTAAACAAGGCACCTTCTTGTGAGCCTCTGATAAGCTGATATACATCATGAATCTCCAAGGAGGGGACATATGGTATCCAGCATTTCAAAACTTATTTGACTGTAGGCTTTCTTTTGTTTTTTTAGAGCATCTCATGTTAAAAATGAGTCACATAGAGTACACTTTGGGAAACCCTAGGGGAGCATTTTACTATATGCAAAGCATTTTTACAAGCTACCATATTAGATTTATAAAACAATCTTATGAGAGAGGTGGCATAATTATTAACCAATTTCCAAGAGCTAAGGTGATTTTCCCAAGCCAAGTCCAAGGTAAGTTTCATCTCACCTCTTTTATAGGTAGAGACACTGAGATTCCGCAGCAGTAACTAATATGTCCAAAGTCACAAACAAGATAAGAGTGTGAACTAGAATTCAAATTCCAAGGCCAGTACCACTTCTGCCTCATTATAATGTCTCTCTGAAGTAGAAAATTACTTAAATGCTCTGATTTAAGAGTATTAGGAAGTATTCACCCCAAACTGGTTTTGTCACCAGCTAGTCAATGTAACATGGCCAATTCATTGAACCTCTTGAACTTCAATTCTCTCATCTATAAAAATCAGAAGTCATGCAAATAATAGATTATTAAAACTTAAAATCTCACCATTATCTATAGACTTACAGAATGATAGAACAAAAAAGAGCATTGTTCAGCAGTTTCAACTGTCATATTTTACCTCTAAGGAAATTGATCTGGTGAGGGAATTGTTTATGGTTAAATATTGTTTGCTTCCTTTTTAAGGTGTACCCATTGAATAAGATGCTGTGATGATGTGTTTTTAATGCCTGGGTGTGCAATAAGTTGAAATTTTTTTTCTCTCCTAAGTAGGAGAATCTGATGGGAGAGTATTGTGTGGTCAAGAAAGAAGAGAAGTAAATACTTAAAGGGGGTGGGGGAAAGAGAGGATAAAGGAAAGGAAACCTTAGCACAGTTGATAATTTTGTTTTTGAATGTGTTTGATTAGGAAGTAATAAAAGGGCTTGGATATCCATTAGCACCATCACCAAGAAACCATTGTTTAAAATGAGACAGATCAGAAGTGACCCAGGTTTAAAGAAGTCATCATTCCCATTATAAATCCTACTTTCTTCCTCCATGGTAGAGAGATTCTAAAGAATGCATCCTGACGGAGACAGAAGCCCGCTACACAGCCCTACTAACACAGATCCAGAGTCTGATTGATAGCCTGGAGGCTCAGCTAGCAGAGATCCGCTGTGCCCTGGAAAGACAGAATCAAGAATATGAGATTCTGCTGGACATCAAGTCCCGGCTGGAGTGTGAGATTGCCACCTACCGCAGCCTTCTGGAGAGCTTGGATGGCGAGTACGTAAAATAAAAACAACTTGTATGACTAAGATGCTCAAATGCACCCATGTATGTACTGCCACTGGCAACAGAGGATGAGTGTTTTGCTGGTTCTTCTTGCCAGTCATGAGGAACTTTGGAAAGAGGTGTCTACACATTCTCTCAAACCATACCACTGGGAGACTTTCATTTGTAACCTAGTCCAAATTTGAGGTGTTAGATGAGCTGAGTGTTTTGAAGTGCACCAGGTTAATTTCTTATGGGTTGTTTAGTTTCTTACAGTTTTAAAAATTAATAGAGAAAAAAATAGTTTCCCCAAAATGGACATTCCTGGTGACTGACAGATTTCTCCCCAATGAGAATTGGTTGCTAACCAACCCATGGGGAGCTTATCTAGAGTATAAGCTTTTTAAAGTAACTCAGTCCAAACTGACACGCCAAACACAAATTTAGCTACATTTGCAAAGGAGGCCCAGTTCCCCAAAATAATTGATGAACTCTGCTCACAGCAGTCTCTTAATTGGCACGTCGACAATGTTAATCAATGCTATCACCTTTAGGAGCTATGATGATAGACCAAAGTGCCTTGAATCATCAAAAAAAGATTATGCTTCTAGAAAGAGTGTTTACTGTTAAGTACTTCTTACTCCAATTCTTTAAAAACTATTTATAGACACCCAAAAGGGCACTTTGAAGCTTCCTGATGACACACTGAGGACTCGTTTGTAGTTGGGGTTTAGACCACCACTAGCAGTGTGACTAACTCTCTGATGAGAAAAACATCTGATTAATTTCCACTCCTCAGATAATAAGCCTCTCAACTTGTTCCTTCTCACCGTTGATCCTTTGAGTTTAGTTCCCATTATGCCCATGCTGCAGATGAAAATTAAAACTCAGGGGAGTTACATGAGGTCACCAGCTGGTAAATGTCAGAGCTGGGCTGCACCCCATTCTCTGACTGCTGGTGCGTGTTCTTTCCATGATGCAGTGGCATTGACTATAGTCAAATGTACACTGGCTAATACTTATAAACCTAGGATGCTGCTTTCCAATAGATTTGGTCTGATTCTTTTTCTCCCACTAACTATAGTCCAAAGTGAATGAATAAGCATTTAGAAGTATGTGCTTGTTTTACGTGACAAGTGTTGAAAAATTAACCACTACCATTTTTCTCTATGATCATCATTGCTTTCCCTCAATCACAAGTAAAAATCTGTTTTTTTCCTTAGGCTTCCCAGTAATCTGTGTGACACCAAATGTGAGCCTTTTGCTTATATACCTTGTAAGACCAGAGCCGTGGAATGCATGGTCCCAGTTTGCGCAACCTCAGCGCCCCACGGTTTACGTGAGCCTTACAGTGCCTATGGACCCCTGACCCGGATACTCGTTAAAATATGCACCATCACCAAGGAGATTAAGGATGGGAAGGTCATTTCTTCTCACGAGCACGTGCAGCCTTGCTTCATCACCAGACCTGCCAAAGTCTAACAGCTCAAGGTGATGACAGTGACCCACATTCCTGAGAGGCCAAGACAGGCTCCTGCCAGAGAGGTTTAAGAACTCCCCAGCCCCTTAAGGTATTTAGTTTCTTACCACTACAGTGGGTCCCTGTTGCTAGGTAGAATATCTTTTATTCTGCTCCTTCCCTAAGTCACTGCTGCCAACATGATAATAAATTACATTTCTCTGGAAGGATATTTTGCATTTGTCTGAGGGATGGAAACCAATTAGTAAGCACCCAGGAAGATGGCCTACATTGCTTGACTCCACAGGTGACTGACGGGCAGGTTTCTCTCTCATTTACTCAGGCCTTGTTTACTCACGTTCTTCCTCAGAGCCAGTCAGACAAGTTCAAAATTATTTTTGGCTATTGACACATGACAGAGAAGAGCTACAACCTTCCTTTCTAAACTCCTTTAGATACAGGAAGAAGCCTACAGAGGAACAGTAAGCCTACAGGGGAAAAGATTTTCAATATTTCTTTTCTTTGGATAGCCACAAGTCTGGGACCTGCTAAACTTTGCTGTCTCGATTGTTGTTTATCTATACTAACATACTTCACCTTCCCCGAGATGTTTTTAAAGGTGTTCCTGTCCTCCAAAACTTGGTGAAATTCCAGTTCCTTTAGAATCAGGTATATTTGCGGGAAATGAATCTAGAGCATTTTGAAGAAATCGCGTGGGTCTTTTCATCAAATGTTTGCTATTTCTTTTTCTACTCTTTAGGGAATGGGAATTTGTTCTAATTGTTTGACAAGGCACATATAGCTGGAACTCTCAAGACATAGCCCTTGCTTCTCTCCCTCCCTGTGATGAGTAACAAGGAAAAGAAAAATAGCTTAGATTCCTGCTTCACTCGATCCATGAGAAGGAAACGGACTTATCCAAAAACTTTGCAGGAAAGCAATAGTGAATAATTGCTGCTTGCAAGCAAAAGGCAGTCCCAATGAGAGAAGTCATCGCTTATGTACCAGCCATAATTACAGCTTCTTAACACTAGAGTCACCGAGCGTGTAAGTTGTTCCCTACGAAGCATATTGGACATTGCCAGAGGTTTTAATAAATAATTCCAAATCAAACACAGATGTGGAGTCAAAAGGCCTGGAGTCCAAAACTTGCCGCTTCCTAGCTATGACCTTGGGAAAAACATGTAGCCTTCATCAAATTTCATGTTCTTGTTTGATAAATGAGGAGCATGCCTACTTCACAGAGTGGCTGTGAAGATCAAATGAAATTGTTTACATAATACTGCTTTGAACCCAAAAAGCACTGCATAAATGTCATTTTTATATAAGCGTTGTTTTTGGCTACAGCCCTATATCTCATTTTATCGTTATTATCTCATTTTAAAATTCTTTCTCCTTGACTTTTTTTATCCAGTCATGATTTTGGAGTTTTAATAGTGTTTAACTTTGAGGCGGGGGAAGAAAAAGAATAAAGTCTTCTGTGATCAACGCCACAATTCTACTCCGTAGAACATTTTTTAAATTCTTAGGGTATGTATCAGATATCAGTCCATGCCTGGTGCCCACATCAAAGATACACACATTGTTTAACTTGCAGCTCGGCAATGTATTTCCTTCAACAAGTAGCAACTTACACTAAGTAAGTGAAAAGCAGAACTCTCAGAATGGTCTCTTTTCTATCAATAATTTCTCTCTCATCTGAATGGGCAGAGTACCTCCAGTCAGTACTTAACTGCATACAATCTCAGATTACAGAATGAAAATGTGGAAAGAGCATGGAACTTGGACCCAGAAACCTTGGGAGTGTGTGTCCTTGAGTAAAAAGATATAATAGCATAAACCTTGCCTACTATATCACTAGAAGGATAGAATGGGATAATGATGGTGAAAGGATCTTATAAACTGTGAGGTGTTTTGCAGAAGGGAGTTCTTATGACCTAATCTGAAAACCAGACACATGTCATTTTCATTCATTTCTTCTTCCTTTCTGTCTGGTTCAGTGCTGGGTCTAGGTGGACCTTGATATATACAGGGGTGCCAGAAAAATGCATATATGCATTTTAAGTAGGACATTTGCTCAAAAGATGGCGTTTGGGTAGGAAAGAAAGGAATCAGTGTAAGCATAATTTTAACACAGCTCAGAAGACATCCTCCGGAGCCTGAGGTCAAATCCTATCTCTGCTTCTCACTGCGAGGATCCATAATTATATTGCTAAACAAGGGAAATATTTGGATGTATTTTTTCTAGCTTTTGTCTTTCTTCTCATTGACTCCACATAATATCATAACTGGTTTAAGCTCTTTCAAATAAGGAAAGGGTAACCACACTTCCCTCTTTCCCTTGGCTTCTCACCCCTCAATTGGCCCCCTTCAACTGCCCCCCAGACCACATGGTTCACAGCCTCTCCAGCCTCACTTCCCAGGTTCAATTCCAGCAATTACTGCTTGGAAGAGACTGCCCAGAAACTTGTCCTCCAGAGTTCAGTCCTCCTGACTTCTGGCCAGGATTTCTCTAGTGTGACCCAGAGGCCACCTGAAACCAAAGGCGCTGCAGAGCTTGTAAGGTGTGAGGTGCTTGCAGAAGGGAGTTCTTATGCCCTAATCTGAAAAACAGACACATGTCATTTCCATTCATTTCTTCTTCCTTTCTGTCTGGCTCAGTGCTGGGTCTAGGTGGACCTTGATATATACAGGGGGTGCCAGAAAAATGCATATACGCATTTTAAGTAGGACATTTGCCCAAAAGATGGCATTTGGGGAGGAAAGAAAGGAATCAGTGTAAACATAATTTTAGCACAGCTCAGAAGACAACCTCTGGAGCCTGAGGTCAAATCCTATCTCTGCTTCTCACTGCAAGGATCCACAATTATACTTCTAAACAAGGGAAATATTTGGATGTATTTTTTTCTAGCTTTTGTCTTTCTTCTTGTTGACTCCATGTAATATCATAATTGGTTTAAGCTCCTGCATTAGCATCTTCCAGTGTGGGACCTGGGAATCCAGATGTTAATAAGTCTCAGCTGAAGTGTGTGCCCTGAACTAAAAGCCACTGCTCTATAATTAACAAGTGATTTTTGCCTTAAAGATCTGGATGACTTGATGCCTTTTTAAATCTCTTTTAGATTCTGACATAGCTTGACAGTAGATCGCGCTTATGGATAATTGCTTCTCTATGTGTCTATCCACCTGTTTATAAAATCAATAATAATCAATAATTTAATAAATATAACTAACTCATTGATTCCTCACAACACCACCATGAATTAGATAATATCAATAGCCCCATTTAACATATGAGGAAACTGCTGGACAGAAAACCTAAATGATTTATCCAACTTCACACAATAATGAGATTTAATAATAATGAGACTTTAAGCATTTTTATAATAATGAGATTTTAAGCATTTTTATGGCCTTAGGAAGGTCAAAATAGCACCTGATACATTATATAGTCAGTCTCCAAGAATATAAATAATCCACAATAGCAGAAGTTTGTATTTTGGCTCTTCAAACCACCCCTCTCCAGCTTTCCTGACCCTGCTTCTAGTGAGAAACCATCCATGGAGTCTTTATGCCATGAGTATAGACGGTTCTCTTCATTCAGAAATCCACAGACGACGTGAATTTGAGAATTAGGAAGGTATTTTGGTATGGTACATATCCTTTTTATATCAGTGATAGAGAATGTGGGGCCCAGAGAGAAAAGTGACCGGTCCATGACCACATCGTCAACCTCATTCCAGCACTTCTGTGGTGGGCAGCAGTGACGAGAGGTCTTCTGGCAACAACGCTGGACCACAAGACAGCAACCTAGGGCTCCAGCTCTCAGAAGCATCATTTGACCTCTCTGTGTTTGGACCCTGGGCGCTCACCATGAACTCTTCAGGTCTAGCATTCTTGTTTATCTTACAAGCTCTGTTGCTACTTAGCATATCATGTCCCATTGTCTACATCTGTCAGTAGGAAATGACACCAGAAAAATGTCCTCCAATGCTGCCAGCCCTGTGTCTTTTAAAGGCAGTTAGATGGCATTAGTGAGGCTTTTATGTTCTTTAAAAGCTAAGTGCTCTATACTGTTGTTATTATTAAGTGTAATAATTTTCATTTATCAAAAAATGGAGAAAAGTCTCTTACTCTAGTATAAGTGAACCCATTGCCTGAGTAGGCAGACAGAATCCTAGTTCTGTTCATTTTGATTTAAAATTTTTATAATTAAAATAAAGTTTTTGTAATAAAAAAGTATTTTAAAAAGAAACACCTCTAAAATAAAGCATCTCTAAATGAGAGGAAGGGGGAAACATTAAAATTCAGGAGAAATGGAAAGTGCCCCAGAAGAGACGAGAATATTCCTTCCATTTTAGGCAGAATCTCTAGGCTGAGGCAATCAGCATCTGTGACCCAGCACCAAGGGTTAGTTCCGTACAAGTAAGCCTGGAATGCATTGTTTCAACACCACAATCAAATGTCTTTTATAGGAGATGAATCCCTTGGCTATTTGACTGACTGGAAATATCTGGTCAGTGTGTTCATGCATGACTCACAAGCTTCATGGGAACAACCCACGCACTTAGTTCAAATGGGAACAACCCTATTTGGCAACACTGAAAAGGTTGGTTTTAATTGGAATTATCCTTTCAGGTTGAACATCATATTTGGAGGGTTTTTCTAGATGATATTTTTAAGCCATGGGCCACCACTTCCACGCACATAAGAAAAATGTGTAATATGTCCATGTGTCTAAACATCCCCAAAAGATGACACAGTAGTGAAGTTTTTTGATATTTCTTGGATCTTCCCTTCTCTCTCTCTCTCTTTCTCTCTCTCTCTCTCTCTCTCTCTCTCTCTCTCTCTCTCTCTCTCTCTCTCTCTCTCCCCCTCTCTCTCTTTTTCTCTCTCTCTCTCAATCTGGAACAGCATAACAGTCAAGGTGGATATACTTATTGGTATATACTTATTGGTATCTAGATAAAACATATCAGGCAATAAGTTCTCTTATTTTCTAGGAGGGGAGCAGATTTGGGGCTCCCTCCTCTGTTTCTTTCTATAAAAAAAAAAATAGAAAAAAAATCAGTAAGATCTTTCTCCCAAGTGCAGTGCAAAAATCTCTGATGTTACATCTCTTTATGGAGGCCCAGTGGACCCAGCCAGTGCTTGAAAATTACATTCTGATTCCCAGCCCAGCCAACTACTGTGAGATCTTGGGCACGTCATTTAAAGTC